TTTTGTCAAATAAATTTGATAGGTCTGATAGTCTGGATAGGGCTTCAATGCCGATCGTTGGGCGTCAAACATAAGAATGTTTAAACAAGCATGTGGCTGCGTATTAATCAATGTCTGAAAGATCATTATTTTAATAGAGTGCGTACAGCAAGCTCATGTTCCCACGCCTACGTATGTTACATTCTCACTCTATTATTTTTCTTGTAACATTTTTTATATAGTTACACAGTAATCAGCAATAAGAACTCTTGATGGGTTTTTTTAAAGCATTAAATAGCATAGCAATGGAGAGAGTGTTTTCATATATATTTTAAAATGGGTTAAATACTAAGCCATTAAAAGATTCCTATTCTAAACCAAAGACCCATACTAAACTTGCGTACCGCCAATGTCAAATAGATTGAGGCGAATTTATTTACCGAAAGGTCCACTGATTAATCTCAGATAAGAAAGTATAATTATTGAAATACACGCCATCGTATTGGGATTCAATATTTCGACATTAATTATGTCATCATCAGGAATGAAAAAATTATCCATATTATAGCAAGCTTATATGCATTAGTACCAAAAGTGTTTAACCAATCAAAACATTACCTCTAGTAGGTGACATAGCAGTGATTTAAACAAAGGATCAAAGCATTCTTACTCTAATGATCAAAGATACCTACAAAAACAAAGAAAGCTCTTTTGAAGCTCTGAGCCCAAAGGGTGTAGTCTACGTATAGCAAACGCTTCACCGTCGGAAGCGTCAGTTTACAGTCGGAAGCGTTGGTTCTTGCGCATGCGCATTTGCATTCACATTTCTTTTGCAGTTTTTCGCTGCAGCGAAATCGGTAGTTCGAACTTGTTTTTACTTTTTGAGAAGCGAAAAAATGTGTCAACCAATCAGAGCTCAGGGAGAGAACCGACGCTTTCGATTCACCCGAATAAATTCGCCTAGTGGAAATGCTCGAAAATACTGTACAGTATTGCGATCTATCAAGCAGAACGGAAATTTGGCACACTCTCAGAGAGCCCGGATTGGCGGAGATCTAAATATAGGTACGTTATTTGTTTATGTTCATACACACTGGCGCTATGTTGAAGTTAATCTTGGATATTTTCCAAATGAACAGTGAATATTTTCCAACATAACAGCAGGCAAAAGAAAGATGTTTATGGATATGTTTAACATCGGATATACGAAGAAATAAAAAGAAAAGCGCTTTAAAGATATCAGTGGAGGAACTGAATCTCACATACACGAACGTGCACACTAATGAATGAATGAATTTTTCAACTACTGTGTTTTGTTTGATTTGCATCGCTGGTCACACATAGTTTTTACCACGTGAATTTACCAGCACGAACTGGTTGTATCTAGCGGAAAGTACTCAGCTTGTACATATTATTTTACACCATTATTACAGAATAGGTTGTTTTTAAGATAAGTCTATTACACCCATCACTTTTTGAAAACAAATATGCCTGGAAATATTAAAGGTAGGTGAAACAATTTTATGTTTTCATTTTGAGCGCAAAGGAGTCATGCCCACGATTTTAGTAAAAACAAAAAAATCCGCAAGCACTGAAATTACGAAAATTTAAGAAGTGATGCTACTGCTGACGACCAGTGGGTGCCTGCTGTTTGTTGGATCTGGTCCCAGCAAAAGGGTCCTAAAGCTGGGGCGGACGCAGAAGGGGTGCAGCTCCCCCTCTAAATTGTATTAAGAAAAACAATTGTTGTAGGCCTATTATTATATTGCTGGCATGAATTATTGGTAAGATTTTTAAGATATGAGAGTGCAATTCCCGGGCACCCAGCTCAGAGGTCCATATTCTCTAATTTTTTACACCTCAATTAACCTCAACCATGTTGAGGCTGAGATGGGTGTGGACACTTGGGTTTGAAGTAGATAAAGTAAATATAATTAGACAATGTTTTTAAGTTCTATTTTCTATAGTACCGTACATCAAACATTAATTACATCTCTATGGTTGCCGAAAATAGCTGATAAAAGATCATGGGAATTTGGTTGCGCTTCATTTTTACTATTAGTCTGGTTGTAAAACTGCTGAAATGAACTTTAGCGGGAAAAAAGTAAAGGAAAATTAATTTTTGGTTTTTCTGAATCAGCATACCCTATAGTGTCTCAGAAAAAAAAATCCCCATGCCTGGGGCTTGGGCAATTTTTTTTACAGCACTTTGAAATTTTTACCTAAAATACCCTATTTTAAACTATATAAGATGGGGGTAGGGGAAATAAATTTATGTTTTTGGTCACTTTTACATATACTGTGGATATGAAATGTAACAACAACTTGGCTAAATAGTTACTCATCACTCTCATTTAAAAATTTGATCGGAATGATGACGTCATCAAGATAAATTCCAAGATGGCGTCCATTAAGGTTGTAAAAACTATGTTTTTAATGTAAAAATTATTTTATTGTTATCAAAGTACAATATAATCCCAATACAATATTATACATACAGGAATAAA